AATCACAATTGGGGGCACGCCTGAACTCACCAGGCTGCTGGTTCAGCTCCCAGCTGGAAATTGCTGTTGGACCTTTGAGTCCCCCTTCGACTTCGTTAAATGGATAATCCCTTGAGCCACTTTGGACAAACTCATAAAGATAAATGTTTTTTAGGATCATCTTGCTAATCCATGTGATTAGGCACTGGTGCGACCTTTGACCTGTGAGAAGCGAATTAATTCCCATGGACTGGAAAGGAGACTGGCCTGGGACCTACCAACTGTCAGGATAGAGGGTTATGGACAAACACAACGTCACGATCACAAAGGTACATTCAAGATTAAAGAAGAAAAAAAGCACAGGGCCGTCCTGTCAGGACCACAGACAGGCCGTAATGAAAGGTACATTTGTCTCCATTTATCTGCAAATGAGCATCGCGGTTTAGCGCGGCTTCCTCTGAGAGACGAGGTCGAATTTACAACCTCTAAATGGGAAATTAATTCCCCCAGACTGTGAGTAACAGGGACACTGGAAACACATCTGATTTGCCCTAGTTGCAATTAATTAGATTGGGAGAGTGTTTGGGGACCGCCAGGAGGGTGTTGGGGCCAGAGGAGGACAGTGGGGGGGCCGTAAGCATTACTGACAAACTGCTGGAGACTAATTATTTCATAAGACTGCATCCAGAGGCCCAGGAAGCAGGCAGCTGGCGTAGCCTCCGACCCCTGACCTTTGACCCATGACCCTGCCACCCTTGCGTCAAGCAGGCTTGCTAAACTGAGCTCAGATTCCCCCGAAACTAGATTTAAGGAAAAGATGAAATTCCTCTGAGGAAGGGGAGTTAGGGACAAGGAGAAGGGGTCACTCCTCCTCCTCATCTCTACCTTTGTCGCAACAGAGGGTGGGACAGGAGCGCCTCCTACAGGTCATCATAACACATAGCATTTTGCACAAGTAAATGTGATTGCTGCTCAGTTCTACCCAGAGACCCCCACTCCCCCCCCCCACCCCACACTGGATAGCCCGTGCTAATTGGCGCGCCGTGAGAACGGGCCAGCTGGTCTGGGCAGAGCATCACAAAGGGCCGCCACAGCGGGACGGTGTAGCGTAGCGGACGCGTGCTGGGGCCACGGGCCGTTCGGGGGCCTGAAAGGCACTCTGTCACCGCTCCAAGACAAAAGCCAGCAACCCGCCCCCCTGCAGGACAGGAGGGGGGAGCGCTATTCCCCAGTGCCGCATACTAAGAAAGAATCGGCGGGCCGTGGCAGAGGCGTGAAAAGGGCCCCCTTTCGGGTGACAGGGCCCAGGTAATGGTCCCCTAGAGGGGCCTTTGGGTGTCACGTGGCACAGTGACTATCCCCGCATACAGCTGATCGCCACGTGACCTTTAACCCCTTTAAATTCTAGCCAAACGCAGCATGTGTCGTGCCACAAGATTGGCGACTTTCACTTGGCTGGTTTTGTGTCATTTGCACTGCAGCTACGGCAAGATCACAGTTCAGAGAGAGAGAGAGAGAGAGAGAGAGAGAGAGAGGACAACTCCACCGACCTAAGCTCCAGCACAAACCGGCCAGTACCAGGCCAGTACCAGGCAGAACCGGGAGGGTGTCCATCCACAGGTGTCCTAGTCCTGAGCTCCATCTCTCCACCTCTCACTCTGAGAATGAGAAGGTTCCCCAGCAGCTGTGGTTGCCGGCGGAGTGCAGGCGGGGGGTCACCACTGACATACCTGCCCAAAAAGGATTTTGTCCCCCTTTGTCCCCTGGGGGCTGCAGGTACCTCATGCGAAAGACGCTGGCCGAGGTTCCACCGCGAGCTTGGTGGTGAGCCAGGGGCAGGCCGCACAAACAGATCCCAGTATACAGAATTGCAGGGATCTGCTCGACAACCCGATCTAGTTATGCAGAAATGTTCACGAATGGACTGGGGTATGTAGAAATACAGGGACCCGAGCACAGATCCAGATATATAGAAACATGGGGATCTGTCCACAAAAGGTTACGGTTATATAGAAAAATGGATCCCGTCACAAACAGATCCGGTTATAAAGAAACGCGTGGATCCCGTCACAAACAGATCCGGTTATAAAGAAACGCATGGATCCCCTCACAAACAGATCCGACTATAAAGAAACGCGTGGATCCCGTCACAAACAGATCCGGTTATAAAGAAACGCATGGATCCCCTCACAAACAGATCCGACTATAAAGAAACGCATGGATCCCCTCACGAATAGATCTGGTTATTTAGAAACAAGCTGAGGCGTTTAGGGCAGGGACAATGCAGAAGACCAGGGCAGATCTGAACATCAGCACCCATCTCATTGCCCGAGAAAAGGCCACATCTGGATATGGATCTCACCTCATTTACCGCTTGCTAGGGGTTCGCTTACCCAGGGCTTGCTTGGTTGGGGTATGTCCGAACAGGGTTAGGGTCAGGGCTATGCTGACCCAAGTAAAGTAAGCCATTACCGGCCACGTGGAACAGCCAGCTGTTGTTGTCTTGCCCACAAGTCCCAGGGCAGGCACAGGTGCGCAGTAAAACAGACATCTGTACAATTCAGACTCTCACTTTGGGGACGTTTCTCCTGCTGTTACACGGGAGCTCACTGGTGCTCCGCTGTTCATGGAACATTAACCATCACCATCCATGGGGAAAAACCAGCGCAATCGTGCACACGCGCTCTTTCTCTCAAACACACACACACACATCTGTACTCATATCTTTGTGGGGACCATGCATTCATTTCTATGGGCAAAACCCTAATCCCAGCAATGACGCCCTTAATCCCTACCCAGCCCTAACCATAACCATGAGGAACCAAACAAAATACGAGACTTTTAGCATTTGTTTTGATTGGTGTCACAGATTTTTATAAAACTGAGTTTCCCCTTGTGGGGACCAAAAAAACTGGTCCCCACAAAGTCAGAATAATAGGTTTTTATCATATTGTGAGGACATTTGGTCCCCACAATGTAATCTATATCTCTCTCACACACACACACATTTCCTCCCTCTCTCTACACATCAAAAAACCATAAAACCACAACCTGTTTTAAGTCCCCCAGTTCTGGAGAAAGCACTGAACATTAAGCACCCGTTTCCTGAACGGCCAGATTTACTCCTTGGACCATAACTGATGACGAGAGCGCGGATGTTTTAGAAATCATCAGGTATGACCTGTGTCGGCTGACAGGCACTATCAATTATAGGCATTTGTAAACTCGTTACTGTAATGACAACATGGTGATGAAGTCAGCCTGTCCATCAAGGCTGTGTGTGTCTATATATGCACGTATATGTTTACACACATCACACAGAGTCCGAGCTTCAGGAACACATAGGGCACAAAGCCAGCCCTCTAATGTATGCATGACTGGACCTGCATTTACATTCTAATCGGTTTTCAGACTCAATTAAAAATGAGCTCTTGACTCCTCCGCTCATTGGCTCGTTGCCCCATATCTTCATCATGGAAACCGTTCACCGGAACGTAAAGCTCCAACCGACGAACAATGACATGACTGAGGAATTTTCAGAGCCGTGGCGCCCCCTTGTGGCCGGATGCCAAACATTTGACATTTTTTTTTAAACGTCCTTCATCGGTCCCGCTGAGGAAAAACAACGTGTGACCAGCAGGTTACGGGCCCCAAGTGTAAAGGGAAGCATGACCTTCCGAAAGACACTTCAGCTGGAGAGAGTGCCGACGAAGACCGATGATAAACTGGAATCAACAAGCATCTCATTCACGCGGCCATCAAGACAAGCTAGGCTACCCATTCGCTACTGGAGACACATTAAAAATTAACTACGGTCCATTACACCAAGGTATGAAATGAAATATTTAATCCTTCACATCTTGAGGAAAACCTTTATTTTTTTCCCCCTGAGAAAAATGAGAAACATTAACGACGCATCTGTAACGTAACGCAAGGCTGGTAGAACCATCACCTCAGGAAAGTTCCGGCATGCCACGCATCACACGGTCATATCTGCCACATTTCCCACAATCCCCTTCACCGAGGAGAAGGGCCAGACTTCGGCAGCCAGGGCAGCTCACGCTCTCATGCCGATGGTTGTGGTCGCGGTGGTTCAGGTTAAACTGCCGGAGACTGTGTCTACGTGACCTGAACTGGTCACAAAGTGTAACAGGGACAGTAAAGTTTGCTGGGGTGGGGCAGTTTGCTAAGCTGACACCCCTTCAGAAGGGGGGTTCCTAGGATATATAAGGGACTATAGAACTGACCATCCGTGGTTAATCTGATGATCTTGTCTTAGAGTCACAACCCAAACAGCACCAACGCGACTCTAACGCTGCGAATGTAACTCTAACAAACACAGTGGATCCCTGTGAAAAGCAGCTCGTGCAAATCCAGCCTCAGGTAAAACGGGGGGGGGGGGGGGGTTGGAAACAGGGGGCTTGTCTTTATGTCAAGGGGGGACGGGGGACGGGGGGGTGCAGGCCTGGCAAAGAATAACCACACAGCCAAGGAAGCGCAGAGTGTCTGAGAGGCACCGTAAGTCAGTTTGACCCGATTTCCAGGTCCAATTAACAGATGGGACAGGAACAGGAAGCCTTGGGGGGGAACGAGGACGGAGCCCAGCCAGTGATGGAGCCCCCCCGGAGCCGGAGAAATCAGAGACTATTATCCGGAAACAGTGACTCTCAATTAAAATAGGATTTAGCACAGAGATCCGACGTGCTGACTTAGATTAGACAGCGGCTCCTTAGAATCCAGGAGGCCAGGAAGCGGATAACCCGGATTCTTACTTGATGATGTCAAACGGCACGTGTCCAATAGGAATCCAGGACGGCGACAGAGAGAGAATCATTTCAAGGTGGCAGAACCGTTCAGCTGTGATGGGGAACACGTACCACGCTACATGGAGTGTGCACAGACAGAAAACACAAATATGTGACACACGTGGCCGGGAAGTGTGAAGATGGTCACATGATCTATGATATATCAGGCCCCGCCCCCCCAACTGGGTCTGCATTACACAGAATTCAACAGCCCCAGACATTAAAACAGTTTTTAATGTTATTTTACACTTTGTGTGTACAGTACCAATAGAGGCAAAACACTGTTTGAATGTGTTTGTTAAAGGGGGGCATCAGCTTTCATATCTGATCACCCCACTTAGGCAACATCACACACACACACACACACACACACACACTCACACACACACACACTCAGAGGAGTCCACCATCTGATATCACCACCCAGCCTGCGCCCCCTGGTGGCTGAGAGTGAGGTCACCCATGGCCCATCTCCACCCCCCAGTGAAGAACCACACGGCTGCCCGAGTCTCAGGGGCCGTGCCGGGGGAGGGCTCATCTACAGGGTCCACCCCGGGACATCAGCAGGGAGTGCAGCAGGATCCCTGCGGGGGAAGGGAGAATGGGTTCAGAGCCGAACGTGGCGGGTCGATGTGGGACGTGAAGCGGTTTCTGTGAGTTCGGGGCTACCTGTCGCCACGGAGACGTTGAGGGACTCGACAGCAGGATGCAGCTGGTGACGAGGACGAATTGTGACCAAGCTGTGGCATAGAGACAGGATCTCCGGGGACAGGCCGGTGCCCTCCCCCCCTGCGGAGAGAGAGAGCACACAGTTACAGGAGGCAGACCTCTCCCAGCCAATGGCTGTCAGGTGTCACCCATGACCAAGCGTGCAGGTACGTCTTACCCATCAGCAGCAGAGTGGGCCTGCTTAGTCGGAACTCCACGCAGTCCAGCACGGGGACGGCCGTGTTCTTGTCCATCATCCCCACAGAGCCCAGAACATGCCACCCCCGACTCACCTTCTCCTGAAACAACAGACAGCCCAACACACAAGTGGTCACACTTGGCAGTCAGGGTTATGAACCAGCACCGAAGCCTCTGTTTAGACATATGACCCAGAGGGATATTTTGTGTGTGTTCATAGTGCCCTCTGGTGGACATTGGAAGTATCACAACTGCCAAAGTTCTATGCAAGGTAATGGAGTGAAGTCCCCTTTGGTACCTTCAACAACTGGCTGAGGCTGTCATAGCCGTAGACACCCATGACCTCCATCACCCCTGAGCTGGCTTTACTGACGACAGGAGTCAGGGGACAACTAGGAAGAGAGTATCACCACATGCTAAGCACACAAACGTAACAGATGCTGAACTTCAGAGCCAATGAGATGCAGCCAGAGTCCCGGTAATGGCAGCATGCACAGATATAGATGCCACTGACGGCCATACCTGTTCCGCAGGCTGCTGGCGACTCGGTCTACCCCCAGGAAGTAGGCAGAGCGCAGGATGGCTCCAAGATTCATGGGGTCCTGTATCCCATCCAGTACCAGCCAAAGGGGGGGGTCTGTGTCTCCCTGCTCATGCTCTGCATCTTCCCCGTCCGAGAGGAACTCCAAGGGGCTGGCCTCCAGACACACGCCCTGGTGGACCCGCCTGCCGCTCATGGAGTCCAGCTGTGTCCTGCTGCAGCGCTGGATGGGTACGCCCCAGCGGCGGGCCTCCTCGCACACCCTCTGCACGGAGTCCCTCTGGGGCCCGAAGCCCTCCTTGACGCACAGCCTATAGAGCTCCCTCCGGCCCTGTGTGACGGCCAGGAGGCAGGGGGCCACGCCGAACAGGACCTCCACGCGGTCTCCGCGACCCTCCTGGCGCTCCGCCCCCCGCCGGCCCTCCGCCAAGTCCTCCACGCGCAGCTTCAGCAGCTCGGGCGAGATCCTGCCTCGCGCCGGAGCGCGAGGATGCGGGGCGCCCCACGCGATGTCGGCGTGACCGCGGCGCCGGGGCGATGCGCGCGGCGGCACGGGTGTCCTGGCGCTCGCGCCCGCCTTGCTGTCTCCAGGGAAACGCAAAGCCGCGGAGTGACCGAAGGAAGCTGCTCCAGGTCTGGGGCAGCACCGCCGGCAGGTCCAGCTCGGCGTCACCGCGGTTATTCTCATTAAAATCATCCTGCACTGTCGGGTTCAACTGTCGAACATTACCTGAGCAGAAGAGAAGGGAAGACAGTGTCTACTTTACTACAAGCCGAAGCAAAAACGCCTAACCGAGAAAACTTCAGCAAACACTACCTACAAATGAGAAGCAGTCAGATTACTGCGTGATTTAATTAGATCCACCGGATTAAGTTCATTTGTATCGTCCCACGTTTTAAAAGATATAAACACAAAACCCGGCGCCGTATTCATCCCGCAGTGCTGAGTGAAACTACGTTTCTCTAGGAATTTACTGCTTGAAATGATACTTAGCTAAAGTCGACCGAATTTCACGTTACATGGTCCCGTTCGCCCGAAGCGCAGCACGTTTACTGCGCACCTTCCCGGCCGCCGTACTTCCCGCACGGAAAAATCATAGCACCCTCTGCTGTCATAGTGTGGAACAGCAGGTGTTATTATCGTTATTATAAAAAGAATCGTTATTTTATTTATTTAGCAAACTCATTTATCCAAAGCGACGTACATGGAGCTGTTGGGGTTAAACTACTCTTTCAACAGAAAACATTTTTATTTTTACAAATGTAATTTCTATATAAAATTCTTATGGTAATGTACAGTGTATTTTTCAAGCAATTAACGTATTATAAATGACTTTAAATGAGTGACATCAGCAAAGTTTTCAAGTGTGCTTTGACACACGTTTCCTTCTGGCAAAACAGCAGGTGAAAGTTAATATGTTCGACCGGGAAGTCAGGGCCGGTTTGTATGCCCCGCCCCTCTTACGTCATTTGCCGTAAAATTGTACATATTTGAGACCGTCTCCCTGTCGCAATGAGCAGGAACACCAGCCGGAGACGGCCAAGTTTAACCTCTTTTCCCGGACTTCGGCACTGTCTAGGCTGGTTTGTATGTACAGCTGCCATTTACACACAGTATCCCTGGTTCTGGCAGTGAAGGTGTATTTTGCGATCCCATCTACCTTGCACATAGAGATTAATCATACGTACAATGTGGCAGCCAAACAAATAACATCAATCAGCATCTGTGCTGCGGTACAGGGGTCACCTTTCAATGCGATGCAACTCTACCGTTATCCCACAAGTGTGCAGTGAAATACAAAGCTGTCATGTGGGCGTCACCATGCTACATTTTACAAATACGCAGCCCTACTAGACAAACGAAATATGCAAAATCTCCACATATTCAACTTTACGAGATTATCAGTGCACATAATCTGTGCCACAAATCTGTTTTTCAGCCACAGTGATTCAACATGCTTCTCTGGCAGCGGCGGGGGGGGAGGACAAGGACATCATTGGTACCTCGAGAACGACCCCCATCAGATGCGAAGGAAGAGAGGGTGGTTTGCACTTGTTTATTGCCGTGAAGCAGAATTCAGGTTTGTGAGATTTACATATACCGATTTCACAGGTCTGTGTCTTATTCAGGAGATATGAAGCCGTCGGAGAATCTGGGAGGCTTCCCTGAACACAGGCCTCAGCAGGTAAAGAGCAGCAGCAAACACTGTCATCACCGTGTCCGGAGATCAGGCCAATCTGAAACGGAGACCCCAAGCAAAGGAGCCACCACTTAAACAACCAGAAAAAAAAAATCCACACTTGTGTGTGCATGGTCCTCTACTGCCATCCAGGTGCTGGGGGGGGGCGTGGCAGTGGCAGGGGGGCGTGGCCCTCAGGACAGGCCACTCAGCCTCTCGCTGACCTCCCACAGTTTCCTGGCCACTGCGTCGTCCCTGGCGTGGGCGCCCAGCTCCTGAGGCAGGCAGCAAGTGAAGTACTGTCCGCTGAGGGGTTCGAGGCCCTCCTGCAGTGCGCAGTGCAGCGTGGTCTGGGCCCCCTCCTCCGGGTCCAGAAAGAAGAGGCGGGACACAGGCTCGATGAACACCTTCTGCCACAGGCTGACGTGGCGAGACAGCTCCGTCCTCACGATGCCTGTGCGGCGGAGGGAGCAAGCGCGGGACGTCAGGGGCACAAACACATCCTCTACCTGTACTAACTCCATCACCTGTACTTTCCCTGAGTGACAGGGGCCCTAAGAGATGCGGAATATAGTTGGATTGATCCAAGATGGGGGCCCAAAGTCTCTAGCAGTGCTCCTGTTTAACAGTACAAATCTGGTGGTGTTTTTTCAATGATCCATTTCTATTATTGCACAAATAACGTCACTGATTTATTAATACATATTTCCTTAATATTCCGCTATTCTATTTTTCAGGATATTCCATTTATATACTGTGTTTTTTATCATTTGTCTTTGCACTACATGTCTGTTCGTCTGTGCCATACATACCTGCACAAGAATATCCCCCTGGGATCAATAATGTTCATCTTAATCCTAATCTTACACAGAACCCGATATCTACGATATCTACCCATCAGGGCCCCATCTCACCCCGGCCACCACCTCTTCACCCTGCTGCCCTCTGGAAGGCGCTATAGATCCACTAAGACGTGCACATCCAGACTACTGAAAAGCGTCCATCTGAACGCTATCAAAGACCTGAACTCATAAATGACTGTTCACTGCATCTAAATGCAAGGTTCTGATCTCCTGTCTTTCGCCGGCATGTACGGCACAAAAGGGCAATATCCCTGGGACTCATTGCGATTATCATCATTTATTTATTTACTACTAATATACTTAGACCTTGTATATACGTATGCATTGAAAAGCACTCAATGGTTTATTGCTTTATATAAATGCCTGTGTTTTTACATTGTTGTGTGTGTATGTGTGGCTCAATATGCAGAGCATTGTATGTGTTGAATCTGTTACACTGTATGTACTATTAAGGGGACACTAAATGTCATTGTACATCTGAGCAATGACAATAAAAGGCATTCTATTCTATTCCATTAATAAAACATTACAAGCAGAAGTTTTGAATAAAACTGGCGTAATTAATACTGGCTTAAAACTGGCTACACGTGCTTCGAAGCTGAAAAGGACAGCCGCTGATGTGAGTCATGGCACCGGCGGCAGGTCACGCACCGGGGTGAACGCTGTAGCAGGAAACGGTGGTCCCGCGCAGCCTCCTGGCCAGCTCGCGCGTGAACAGCACGTTGCACAGCTTGCTGTTGCAGTACGCCTGGAAGAACTGCCAGCTGTAGCGGCCGGAGCCCAAGTCCTTGGTGGCCAGGAGCTCGTCGAAGTCGACGCGGCCCCAGCGGTGGGCGACGGAGGACAGCGTGATCACACGGCCCCCCGCCCCCTCCTTCAACCTCTCCAGAAGCAGGCAGGTGAGCAGGAAGTGTCCCAGGTGGTTGACCCCGAACTCGACCCCGAAGCCGTCCTTCGTGCGCCCGTCCGCCACCAGACCTGAGCCGCGTGGGGAACACCAGTGCGTGAAGCTGATGGGGAGGACACCGAGAAGGTGGGGGCGGAGGAGGGGGGTGCGGGACTCACCAGCGTTGTTAATCAGCAGGTCGAGCCTGGGCTCCGTCTTCAAGAAGGTGTTCGCGAAGGATCGAACAGACTGCAGGCTCCCCAGGTCCAGCTGTAGGTACACTACCTGGGTGCTGCCCGTTTCCTGGAGAACATGTAATGTTCAGACTACAAGAAAACAAGCAAATTCACTCCCCCCCCTGCAGCAAAGCTCTCACCCGCTCGATGTCTCGGATCGCAGCCTCCGCCCTCTCCTGGCTACGACAGGCCAGGATTACTCTGGACCCCCTCCTCGCCAGCTCCTTGGCTGTGGTTTTCCCGATGCCGGTGTTTCCCCCTGAGGGAAGCACACGGGTAGATCTCGATTAACACACACGTAAACCTAACAGCCAGGTCCGCTCTCCCCTAGTTAAAGGGAAAGGCGGTCTGGCGGCCCTCGGCTCGGTAAATGCGCTGCGTTTGGACCCAAAGCCCGCTTATCATCAGATGTCAACTTCGGTCAGCTGGCTGGCGTGAGATTTTCAATTCGAGACAAAGTTCGCAGACGCATTTACATGTATGTAACAGTTTTATTATCGTGTAGGGTTTGCAAACTACCCCAACGCTTTTGATGTCGCTAATTTTAGGTTTATAATTAAATAATATAGATATGCCTAAAGATTTCTTGCGTGAGTCTGAAACCGTGAGTAACACGCCAGATATGAAAGAGTTAGCAGCCCTGCATTTCGACCAAAACTGAACTAAAACCCGAAAAGGAAACTTCCCGGAAAAAGTGGGACCGAAAGTAAGCCGGCTGCTTAAAAGGCTTGTTCCAAAGCACAAGTATGGTTCATGCGGATCAGTGAACAGGCTTTAAAAAGCTCCGCTGGTTTCATGTAACAAACAGGGCGGCCGAGACCCTTCGTTTCATCCTACCTGTGATGATGACCGTCCTGCCGGTCATGGCCGCACCGCTTACGCACACAGACCTCCGAAAGAAGGTCTCGGTGATTAGAGCGTAAAGCGCATAGATCGCGACGAGCAGCGCGGCGGCTGGCAGGAGCTCGCACATGGCGCGGCTGGATGGATGGACTCGGGGCACCGGAGACGCGTGGCGGGCTGCGGCGCTGGACCAGCACGGAGCGGCGACTCGGCTCGAATCAGCTCCACTCCTTTTCTTGTCTCCCACTGTCTTTGCTTGTTTTACCGGTTTGCCACCTCTAGTCCCCCGCCGAATTGCAGCCCGGGCTCGGTCTACTGGTCGAGCCGGTCGTGAACAGTGAACCTATTCACCGCCAGTATGACAGGTTTGGGAACCGGACTGGCGCAGGATCCAACCTCAGACTGACCGCAAAAGAACCGGAGCTTTTCTAAAAATGGGTGCAAAACAAGGTGTCGTTCGTGGGACCGGTCTGTTCTGATTTCGGACAGTGAAAAAAATTACTCAGCACACTTAAAAAATAAACTTCCATAGACCTGAGAATAAAGAGCAGCCTTAACTATTACTAGGATTATGGAATTGTAGCAAGTATCTTTCATCTTTCTGCCCTCGCTGAGTCTGGGGAAGTGGGCGGGTTTCCAGGCCGTGATGCCCCCCCGAATTTACCCATACAAACAGATTAAAAGCGGCGCACACCCCCTCCCGGCCCGTCCACATCACTCAAATTAAAGGACACGAGTTTCTTCCAGTTGGTTCTTTAAAAAATTCTGTGTATATTTACACCGTTTTAACAGACAATTAGACATCAAAGTTTGTGTATTTACAACACAGATGCTGGTTCCAATGGTCTGGAATATTTACATGTTAATTGAAAAACGGAGAACACGGACACATCCCCCCCTTTCTTGTTCCGTAGACAACGGGAGACATTTAAAATATAACAGTGCGTTTATATACCAGAGAGCATTGCCGGCACCAAGCCGAGTTTCTTAATTTGTGTGTTCAAACACACACACAGACGCATATATAAACACACACAACGTGTATATTTTAACGCACATACGAATATACACGTGTACATGCAAATATACGTTTCGCATGTGTGCCTTTACACGTACCTACACGTGTATCCATATTGTATGCTTTATATCCATCTGCAGTGCAAAAAAACACCAACAGTACAGATATGGAGAGATTAAAAAGTCCAAGAAAATCATCGATCCCACTCGGGGGAAACGTATAAAATCCGACCCACACGGCGCCGACGAGCCCTCCAAATAAAAGCCACGCTCGCTAGCGCCCCCTGACGTTATCAAAGTTTCTCTTTCCTTGTATGTAAAACGTAACAAAACGTTTAGAAACTCCATGTGCAACTTGCCACAAATTTTTAGCCCCCAAAAATACTTCATTTCATGCAAGTCTGTAGTTAAATAAGAATAATTATTAAAAATCCTCTTCATTTGTACAAGTTGGCTGGGGGAGGCTGTTGCCAGGGTAACCGGTTGCTAGGGGACGGCACCGTGACACAGCACCGGAGGTGGGCGGAGCTTGAGAGTCTGCCGGGCGGCCGGCTCTGTCCGCGTATCCTGCTCCTCCTCGTCATCCTCGGGTTCCACCTCGCCTTCCTCCGGCTCTGTCCGCTCCTCCACCTCCCTGCCCCGCTCTGGCGGCTCCTCCTTTGCCGGCACATGCGTGAACTCCGTGACGGTGAACACGAACTGCAGGCAGCCCAGCTTCACGGAGCTGCCGTGATGGAGTAGCGCCGTGCCCTCCCAGCCGGCCCCGCTGCCCCCGATCAGGCTGGAGCTGCTGGCCCGGCAACCACAGGGGGGGCGTGCCCCGCTCCCCGACCGGCTGCTCATCACGCCCCCTGCTGGCACCGTTTGCCCCGTCCCTTCCTTCTCTTCCTCCTCCCGCTTCCGTTTCCTACAGCGCCCTGTGGGACACAAGCAAGCCACCGGCCAATCAGAGTCCCGCAGCATCCGCAACACTAACAGCAAGTTGGGTCCCTGACCACCATTACAAAATGACTCTGCGGTCTGGGCCCTGACTACTATGCCACCTAGTGGCTGCCAAGCAAAATGCTCACAAAGGCTGGAGTGTGTGGTGAGGGGTGACTCACGGCCGTGGGTACGCGCTCTTGGGACCACGCTGCCAGCAGCCATGGGAGGGGTCTTCTCTGAGAAGTCGCAGGAGTACAGGACATTGTCGACCGTGGTTCCATGCTCACTATAGTTCAGCAGCTCGTAATGCTTGGTGTTCTGGATGGATGGACACGCAGATCAGTTGACAGAACAGGATCATGAACCATGGAGAAGGAATGATACTGCGATGACCTAGACTATGATTAAACCAGATTTCGAAAGTGGACCAAACCAACCAGTTTTACCGGATACGGAAGGTTCAGATGATACAACTCCCAATTTATTCACACGTCAATGTAAGTGAACAAAAAGCAGATAAAAAAAAAAAAACAAAAAAAAAAACACGAATGTTCCTTTTATTCATTCACAGAGCAGGGACACTTAATCGCTGTGCCCCCTGGTGGTTGGTGCTGGTACTGACCTCGTCGTAGAAGATACAGGCGTGCTTTCCCGACACGTAGTTACAGTGTCCGTACTTGGTCAGGCATACGTCCATGTCGGCACCTGGTGACGGGGGTGGGGTGAGGGTGTTACTGAATGTCGACCTACATCACTCGAACCTGCAGCCGGAGCCCAGGGTCCCGCTCACCTGTTCCTATGTACAGGGTCCTGTACCACATGTTTACTGCTTCACCTTTTCCCGTTAGGGGGTAAAAGGCAGCGCGGGCCTGACCCTGAGTATTCACAGCTGGGGAGGGACAGAGAGGAGGGAGTGAGTAACGTGTATAAGAGTGATGGGCAAAATGATACTTATGAACCATTTAATGTATTTTTTTGACTACACTAGATGGCGCTGTCTGTTCAAAAAAGGGCTCAAAGCATGCCCCAAAGCAAGCTAAGAGTGCCATCTAGTGGGGTGAAAAAATACAGCAAATGGTTCATGAAGCTTCATTTGCCCATCACTAATGTATAATCTACGAAGGACAGGATGAATGGGGAGGGGCTGCACCTGGAAGGGGCGGAGACTGTGGCTTTGCGGAGGGCGGGGCTTTGGGCCGAGAAAACTGCCGGATCCTTTGCCAGGCGAGGACCCTGATGAGCTGCTCATCCAGGAGACTCAAATCCACGTCTGCAGAGGCAAAGAACGTCCCGCCTTTATAAAGCCGCCCTACAGTTGGCCTGTTACAGCATAAAAGCCCTTTCACTGCTCCCCCTGGTGGCAGGGGCCTTACCAACAACGCTGCTGCCCTGGGGGGCTCTGGGCAGGGTGACGGCGCGGGAGCCTGCAGTGGGGGTGGATGGTGGTAGCGCCTTTCGGGGCTCCTCCACTTTGACGTCGGTGCTGAGTGAGCCCACGGGCTGCTGGGTGAGGTCACAGGACCCTGGGGTGCTGGCCGAAGGCGCACGACAGCGGGGGGGTGCTTCCGGAGGTCGCTCCTCACATGGGGGGGCGGGACGAGCCAGGCTGCTCTCGTCGGGGGCGACATGAGGCTTGGCGTCGGTCTGCCCGCAGTGCCGTGACAGGGAGGGGGTCTGCTTGGCAGATAGGTGCCTGACAAAGCTGCACTGGAGGGCGATGATGTCCTGCAGCCACTGCGAGACAGTGGGGGGGGGGGAGTATGGTACCACATAGCTTGCATTATCATACACAGCAACTAGGGGGCACTGTGGTGCTTATTAAATAAAGTGATGGCAGAGTCCATGAATGCATGTACTGTGTCGGGAATTGACAGATAGACCACTCACCTCTCTCTGCTCATCCTCGCTGGTGAAGCGGCAGGTGGAGGCGGATGAGGAGGAGGGTGGGTGCTGAAGGAGTGGGTCTGATACACCATTACAGATGAGCTCCCCAACTCGGACCCCATCCGGGGCCCGCAGGGTCAATGGACAGCGGTATAAGGACTTGATGGCTTCAGGCACCTGCCAAGGGTTGTTGTGGAGGGAAGGGGGCACGCAGTTGGATTTCATGTTACCATTTGACTTTACTGCGGTGTGGCTGGGGGCGTGGCTTACATAGGATCTCCTTCTCAAGTGGGTGTGACCCAAGGTGGGGGCGAGCGGTTACCTTGAACACGTCCCTCGGTTGGGGGTGTGGCCAGTGCTCCTGGCGTGCCCGCTGCAGGAAGTCCACTTTGACGGCCTGCTGGGAAATGCGGTCCTGGAAGCGGTCGAGCAGCTGGCACCGCTGGCCAAAGGTCAGGCTGCCCTGTAACGGGACAGGACCATGGAAGTGGGGCATGATGGGAAACAGAGGTATATGTGGTAGGCGGGGGGGGGGGTGCAGGCTCACCGCCACAGCTGCCTCGTGCTGCGTGTGACTGGAGCACACCCACGCCCCTGTAGGCATGGCCGACAGCGGGGGAACCGTGCAGCTCATGTGGAACAGCAGGGGGCAGCAGTCACACTGGATCAACGGAGCCAGGCGGCAGGTCCTGCGGGGGCAGATCAGCGAGATGATGCACTTGTGGAGGCGGGGGGCGTCCCGGCAGAGAGCCCCCGTCGCCTTCTCATCATGCTTCACCGCAAGCAGAACCTCAAGACAGCAGAGATTACAAGCCCAGGGGTCAGAGGTCAAGGGTCAGGGATCATACCTGCCACAGGAGAAGCAGAGCTTCCCTGGCAGCGGAAGTAGCCCACCAGGGTCCAAATTATGCTGAGATCGCTTCACGCTTTTTCCTATGGAGGACAGATCTTTGCGTCTCCTCTTACTGCTCCCTGGGTGGAGACACACACATAAGCTTGCACAAGCGCACACACACACACACACACACACACACACACACACATGCACGCACGCACAGCCGGACCTCACCTGACATGGCCCCCGGGCCGCCAAGCTCACTGGGCAACGCAGACCCAGCACAGCCCCTTGTCATGGCAGCGGCGATCAGCAGCGCCAGGGGCTTCTGCAGGCATGTCCCGGTGCCGTCCAACGCCGAGCCCAGACCCTGTGGCTCGTCCTCCACGTCCAGCAGGTCCTCGTCCTCGTTCTGCTCAGAGGGCGTGGCCGTGTCGGTGGAGGCTCCGGAGGCAGGCGTGGCCGGCCGCTCCAGGAGCCGGACATGCGCCATGGCGGGGCTCGGCTCTGGCCACGGCTCTGCCCCTCCCTCCAGCCGCACGGTGTCCAGCTCTGGGTCGGGCGTCGGCTTGGCCAGAGTCCGCTCCAGGAGCCCGTTGACCTGCTCCTGCTTCTGCAAGTGTTCGGGGGGTTAACAGCTTAGCCACGCTAACAGGTGATATAAGTATTTTTGTGTTACTTTTTATGTTATATTTTGTGTCAACTACGGTGATGTGACTTTTCTGTAACCCCATTGGATGAAGGCTTACTGCAATCCCATTGGATGAAGGCTTACTGCAATCCCATTGGATGAAGGCTTACTGCAATCCCATTGGATGAAGGCTTACTGCAACCCCATTGGATGGCTTGGAAGGCTTCAGCTAAATAACCTAATGAGGGAGAATCTCAGCTTACCTTCCTGTGCAGGATGCAGAGGTGACATATCCAGCCAGCAGGGGGCAGTGTTTCCTCACTCAGCGGTGGGTCGCTGTAGGCGCCAGAGAAGCAGAAGGTTACCGATATGACCCACTTACTTTAAACACGAGGCCTAGGTGATAAAACAGAGGGCTGCACGTTTCTTTTGAAGGGTTTCACCATGCGTGGTGTGTAAAGCGGATTTCCTGCCAGGTGAAGAGCAGCCCGATCACAACCAGCTGCCCCATCAAGGCAGGAACTGCAGACGCTGCTCCCCCTCGGGCCCCAGCAGGGCAAGTGGACAACCCATCCAGTGCGATAACATCACACCCGAGTTCTTCACCACGGAGATTAGCCACAACTAAGCAAGAAAATATGCGAAAGGGAACTCTGCGAGTAGCAGGGAAGGCGGCGAAAAACAGGTCGAACTGCATGTTACAAGATGAGAGGGGGAATCACCCCACCCCAGATGGGACCGCTGCAGACAGGAAAACAGAGGCCAGGCTGAACCACAGCGGTAGCAGGAAGGCAACGGTAACAATGAAACACTTGTCAGTTTTTAAGATTTAGTTACAAGAGGAAAGCAGCCTTAAATCACTTTACAGTCACGTATAATGTGTACAAAGTACAGAGCAAATACAGCAATAACTGCCAGGCCATTCACTACAGCTGAAGAACGGTAGGACACGCCCCCTCCCTGCCGCCTCACGTTATGCGTCCAGTCCCCACGACAGGTGCGTGGCGCTGCCGCCACCTAGTGCCCGCACGGGAAACTGCAGCGCAGATCACAAACAGATAAGACAGCGGAGAGTGGCCTTAAAGACCCCTGCAGGGCACACGCTACGCGTACGCTGCCATGCTCGTCGTTTCAGAGGAGGCGCAAAGACCATTTAAAAATAAAGACTGCAGATATACGGAACTCATAAAAGAAAGACTGCCAAAATAAAACATTTATAAACAAACACTGCTGCTTGGGTCATTTATAAAACAAGGAGACCTCATTTCCAATAACCTACGTAGAGTAAACAGTTTAACCTAATCTGTAAGACTGTGGGGCCACCCAGATGAGAACCGTTATGTGTTCAGTAAATATACCACCGCTACACATCTGAACACGTAACATCAGTCTGTGTTCAGCACTTTCCTTTCACAAGACCTGAACATGTTATTAATGTGACACTGCCACGGATGTTGTCGTGTCACTAAAGTAACACTGTCACAGATCGGGTCATCTCACATACATGTGTTCAGCAGATGTGACACTGTCCTGAACATGTCTTTAACGCGACGCTGTCATAGATCTATCATCTTCTTGGCCACAGCAACGAAACACCACTGCCAGCTTCCAACCGACCCATAACATTCGAGCAAAATGGCGCTCGAGTTTAAAAAATGGAAATTTAAATCCTGGTCGCCATATTGTGTAAACGTAAGCACATATGTGCGCGAAATCGGGGTTCCGGGCTTGAAGCTCCCCCGACACCCAGTGTCGCTAAAACACTTCAATAACGCACATAAACAAGCCGGCAGGTCTCACCAGCACTGGGGATGGAAGGCGGCAGGGCAGCGGTCACAATCCAGCAGCTCGCCGCCCTCGCCGCAGCCGTCACAGGCGCTGCGGTTCGCCGCACGGCTGTTTCTCTGGACCTCCAGCTTTCGGCTAGCCTTCCCTCCTTCATCCGGCCTGGGGGGCGCCAGCAGGGTCTGGATCTGCTGCAGGGTTGCAGATGAGAACCGCCGTCAGAACGCTGATCTCTGGCTGTTAACGCGATTAAAGTGTGGCTGGAAAGACAGGGATCACAGGGACCGAGACCTCGGATCACGAAGCCGGGCCCGCCCCCCGGGACTAACGAGCAATGAGCCGGCAACTGTACCCCGCCGGTCCCGGTCTGGTCGGCCCCAAGCAGACAGTGTGAGCGGGACCAGGACCCCCGCAGCCTGGCACGGTCAACCTTCGCCCCGGTCTCACCTCCATCAGACCCCCTGATGTGTCCAGATCGTACGGCGCCCCGGAGCTCTCCATCCCGCCGCGTCTGCGCAGCAGCTCTCAATCAGTCCGTCTTCAGAAGAAGCTCTTAAGGTAGAAATAAAACGAAAAACCTCCGACGAGTGTTCAGGGCGCAGTCAGCGTCCAGCCCGGGGGACGGAGCGCCCGGGCCGGCCCGCGTCGCCCCGAAGCGCGGTCTAATCAAAGCGACCTTCCGGGCTGACAGGCCGGAGACAGGATGCCCCACAAGCCCGGAGGCCTATCCGACAAGGGGCCGCCATGCGCTCCATGATAAACCTGGAGAAGCGACCTGGCTGCGAGCTACGGATGCCGTGGCGAAAAGCCCGTTATGGCTGCGGGGGAGAGGCTGTCCGTCGGTTGCGACGCCGCTCTGGACGCGTCCCCTCCACGGCGTCGGGGCGACGGGGACGTGCACGGTGTCTGTGCGTGCGCGCTACCGACACGGCCAGTGCATCCGCCTGCGGGTTTTTGGCGCTGTGATGTTTTTATATGGAATTTCAACTGTTCATGCGCACGTATTTTTCAGTTTACCTTTACACTTACATGACGTGATAAAATAATATGAAAGAAAATATCAAACATTAATCACCTTTCTACTATACAGTAACGGAAGTCATTGTTGACAAATATTAATTTTCAATTTTGATTGGCTAACGTGCATCGCACTGGACCAATTAGATTCACGGGTATTAATACGTGGCCGTAAACATAGACGCCATCTTGCATTTGGAGGACTCACGCTTTGCTGACGTTGTGTGTTGTGAGCGCTGGCTTGTGAATTCCATGCATCGCTTTGTGCTGATAACAATAAATATCAACAGGACAAGCACGTTGGAAGCGAATAATCTGTTTAATAAAAACGGAGATATTTTCTGTATGCGTGTATTTTGATAAATGTATTTTTTACTTAAAGTGGTATAAGTATTCGTGGAAAACAAATGATTAACTTGAGAATTGAAACTATCACCTGATTTGCTGTTTTAATCGTGGCATTGGCAGCATGTATCAGAAGATGTAAAGCAGTAATGAACAGATATTACATGAGGACATACCAAATCATCCCATAGTCCGGTCATTTCTTTTATGTAGTTTAATATTTTAACAGTGTTTCTATCACTGGTCTTCCGTTTAGATGTCAAAAGAGTAATATAACACATTTGGGCCCTGTGTGGGCCCGGTTTGGACTTAATAATATAATAAACTTAAGCGCCAGCTCCATCGTACATCTACTGAAATTCGGTCTCTTTAACTTTGGTGTCATGTGAGAGTTTCGGTACCCTATACCAATGACACAGTATGCCACCCAGAATCATATTACCTTAAGTTCCGTAGCTGTATGAGGGATGTTTCGTCTTCTTTCCTTATTTGCAAAGTTTATTGCTAAATTATGCTGCTTTTGAGCCATTCAAGAAAAAAAAAAAATCACAGGGTCATGGTGGGTTTGCTGGAGCTAATGCCAGTCCATCACAGTGAACGCACCAGGGGCAGCATTAGGGATGATAGTTAAATTAACTGCATGTTTCTCAACAAGATTAGGATCCCAGAACCAGAAGGTATGAGGCAGCATTGCTATCCAATGAACCATCATGAGACCCCTTTTTGAAGAAAAAAAAAAACAAAATATCCAAAGCCATATTCAAACACTGCATTCCATTATTAGCGTAATGTTTAGCGTAACTTCAATATTAATGTATTTACTTATCAGTTTCCATGTGTGCTCATCCATATTATTACACAAGCTGACAATGGACACAAATCATACCATATGAGTTTGAGAATCATAACAATGTTCAACAGCAATCCGCAAGCAAGATTTTCACTCTTAAACTGTGAAATATTAATTGTAAAATCACTGGAAATTTGTAACTGTATCCAAAAACTCTGGAAAACTATTTGTAGTACATCGTGAGTTTGTAAGGAGCTCAAACACATGTAAATTCCAAAGGAAGTCACTCCGGTTTGTGGACTTGGTTCTGTGTTTTCCAGTCACCCTGCACGTGTTAAGTGATATTAATGATATTTCAACATAAAAATGTCACACAAAGTAAAAGTGAGCCTCACGTTCAACACATCAGCCTGTTGAACATTTTATCTTCAGGTTGTCATCTAAAAGCAGATTGTGCAAAGTTACAGCATAACAAGAACCAGCATTTAAAACCATAGGAAGCACACAGAGTGGCTCCCTGAATTTTTCTGGAATAATCCAGGCAGAGGTACTTACATTCTCTCTACATGTAATACTCAGATGGTACCTTAGGGACACAGTAGTGATTGTAGTTTTGATTCCAGTTGTTTTTTCTGCACATATATAATCTACTTTAGCGACAGGCAAAGTTGCAGCCCCCCATGATATTTTTTTATCCCCTGTTCATAAAACGAGCAACCCCAAACACACACACACCCCAGTAAATATTTCTGAGATGAAATATTTTTTATATGAAATTATATGAAAACTGGCAAATCTCTTTCATGATCAGGTGTCCTTATTTGTGTACCACGTAGGTCAACTAAGAGTGAATGAAGTGGGCAAACAGATTAGGAAGGAGAGGAACCCGATGGAATCGAGCCCTAGGTGACCTCCCAGTAAGTCCAATATGGAGGGCAAGGATGTAGGGTAAAGCCCAGTAGTACCGTCAGGTTTTCTTCATGCTGCGTCACCCATGTCAGTGGTCATGACCTTTGGGCATCGAATGGCAGCATTTTAGGAGTCAGGGAATTACATGTTACATGGAAATAGAAGGTGGATGGGTCTTGTGAGTGACCTTGACGAGAAGAATCTGGCCTCAGCACAGATCCCTGTAACAGCTTACACACGTACCACACCTCTCCACTGTTGTGTTTATAAGCTGGAGTCCGATGACGCCGGTTTGCCGGAATGTTCTTTTCCCGGGTCAGAGTACAGAACCACGTTCTATTCCCATGGTGCTTTGCAGGCTGCTTACATCACACTGGATAAAGAGTCATCATAATTTGCAGAGCAAAGGGACAAATAAAAAAGTTTTCTGGTCCCTAGTCTTAATAATTCCTCAAACAGTTAAAACTAGAAATTGTTTCAGAATCTAAAAATACCCAAACGCCTTCAAAAAAAAAAAACAAAACAAAAGCAACCCTCCCATTCTCTTTGCGACATTGGCAAAGTTGCTCACTCAGGCAAGATATTTTACAGCAGCCAGAAAGGAGGAAGAGGAGCAAAGGGGAAGGGGATGGAGATGAAGGGGAGTCCGTGGTGGCTGAGGAGTGACGTGAGCTGCGGCGATGTTTCCAAGAGGCAGGGAAAAGGGTGGGAGCTGCCCCCCCCCCACGCAAAGGTCATTAAATGGAGACCTCGTACTCTCTGGAGTCCTGTGAAAACCAGACACACACACAGTCATCAAAGGGTAATGAGCAGGACAGCATCAGAGTATGAAGAGGAGGGCAAGCTGGCAGACCGTCAAATAGTATGGGGTAAAAAGGGTGACGTACAGTACTGTGCAAAAGTCTTACTGTAGGCAGAAAGAAAATGATTTCTGAATTATCTTCATGTTGGTGTAAATTATGAGTTTTTTCTATCAAAGCATGTCAGCCTAACCATTTCAAAATCTCTCCTAAAGTCTCCCCAGTACTTGCTGCAACCATCCAATATGCCTCAACCACTAGCACACTGGTATTTAGGGTAATCAATACCTCATTGAATTATTAACTAATTAACTTAATTAATTAAGTGAACTGGTGGTGAAATTTAATGAGCGCATGGAACGGCTGAGGTGCCCCTGAGGAGAGTTTTGGGAACTGAAGCGGCGTTCATCTAGCCGTCCATCAAGATGTCAGTGACTTTCAGGAGAACCGAAGATATTCCTGTTTGTTTTTATTGTGTTACTCTTGATTTGCATATGCTCTAATGTTAAATAATGTTCTTGTTCGGAGCAAATGTACACTTACTACCTAGATAAATAGTGTTAAACAATTCATTTGACTGCCTAAGACTTTTGCACAGTACTGATACACACACACACACACACACATGTTGGGCAAACATGTCTTTATGCGGACCACTCATTAATTTCTATGGGAAAAATGCTAACGCTAACTATGACAATCTTAACCCCTACCCAGCCCCAACCATAACCATACAAGGGTTTTTGCATTTTTAGTCTTTTCATTGCAGTCACAGATTTTTATTAAATTGAGTTTTCCCTTATGGGAAAAAAACAGGTATTCATCACGTAGTAGGGACATTGTGTCCCCATAAGATAAGGTATACCCGCTCACGCTCACACACACACAAACACACCATGATCCTGAACCAGCAGCCCACAGATCCCCATCGTGCCATTAGCAATGAAAATGAGCTTGGGATTTACACAAACAGTAAGGTAAATATTTTGTGCGATTTTGTGTATGGACCTCATAAGACATTTCAGCTATAAAGTACAACAACAACAACAAAAAAAACACTCAAAATGAAAACCAGATTATCATGAAGAAGTACTGATAGGAAATGACAATAGGAAGGTGGATTTTCAAGAAAGAGCCCCCTGACTAAAAAAACAAACAAAAAAAAAACCTTTTGCAGTTACAAGGTAAGCCAGCAGGTGGCGCAGGCAATGGGCGATGGAGGTTTGAGTCCTCCCTGTGGTTTTGCTTCAGCGAGCTCTTTCTCAGCTGGTTCCTGATCAGTGTAGAGGAACATCTGGCAATGGCCTCCACACCAAGACAGGGCAAGGAAGCCGAGCATAGGCATAGCACTCGCTAAAAGGAAATATGGCATGGGTGCTGATGGGGCTGGGGGTGAGGATGAAGAGATGGAGGACGCGAGAGGCGGCGGATGGGAAACAGCTGATCAGGAGAATGCGATGGTATTCCGGGTGTCAACGTCCTTCAGGCATAGGGCGTCAGTACTTACTCCAGTCTCATAAATGGGGTTGTCAAAGGCGGACTCTGTCATGTTGTCGTATGGTGGCGTAGAGGACAAGGGCAGCCGGAGAGACTTGCCCTGGAGCCTGTGAAATACAGACAGGAATGGAATGGACCCCCCTGGTGACAACCTCAAGGGTATATTACCACCAACCTGAGGTCATGTTAGACCACAGCTTGAAACTACACTAAACCCTTAGCCAGAGATTATGTTAGACCCCATCTTGAGACTATACTACACCCTAATCTGATATTGTTAGGCCCAAGCCTGAGACTATACTAATCCTATACTTGATATAATATTAGACCTGAGCTTGAGACTATGCTATACCCGGCAATACTTTACTTGAAGCAGTCTACATAAGGGTGACATGTAACCATCGTAAGAATGACATGACACATGTCATGCACATTAATGACTCATTACTGATGTTTATGACTGTTGTCATAATGTGTCATTCAGTTCCAAAAACCGAATGACACATTATGACAACAGTGATGTTTAAGACAACAGTCATAAACATCAATAATGTGTCATTAATGTGCATGACATGTGTCATGTCTTTCTTGTGACGGTTACATGTCACCCTTATGTAGACTGCTTCAAGTAAAGTGTTACCCTATACCCTAATCTGAGATTATGTTATACCAGAGCTAGGGGCCATACTACACCCCAATTTGAGATTGTTAGACCCCATCGTGAGACTATACTACACCTTAACCTGAGATTATGTTAGACCTCATCTTGAGACTAAACTACACCCTAACCTGAGATTATGTTAGACCTCATCTTGAGACTAAACTACACCCTAACCTGAGATTANTTATGTTAGACCTCATCTTGAGACTAAACTACACCCTAACCTGAGATTATGTTAGACCTCATCTTGAGACTAAACTACACCCTAACCTGAGATTAAGTTAGACCCCATCTTGAGATCATACTACTGTTAGAATGACAGATAAACTCAGACACAACTAAGACCAGAAATACCATTTAATCTACAGAAATTACTTTGAGAAGTAGATGTATATCCCAACAATAACAGCCAGGAAGACAACAGCCGGAGCCAGGATCGCGACGCCTACGTTTGCCCACTCTGAACTGGAGACTGCACTGGACGCTGGTAGATAAAAAGACCAATCAGAAAGCAGGAATACGGCATGAGTTCATAGCCAAGCAAATAAAGCTCCACATTGCGGGCTGTGTTAGTGACATCACCACCACCGGCTTTAACACGTGTACATACATACCATCCAGCCGGTGCTTCGAGGAAGAGTCTGAGGAAGGCTCTACTGGCAGGAAAGAGCACTCAATGAAATGATGAGCATGTTATTAAGAAAGACCAAAACAGTTTCTCCATAAAAAATGAAATATTTTGGGTATGAGTCACAATCAGGGCCGTACTTCAAAATTCTGGGCCCCATGATAAAATATCACCTTGGCCCCAATTTTACATATAATTATAAACATTCAAGGGCCCCAGTCAAGTGTTGCCCACCCCCCCCCCAGCCTCGAATCTGCCAGGGAACCCATGGCCATTTGACACCCCAGGTCACAACTCTCTTTTTTGCATGTGGTTAGAGAGTACTGCAGTTCCCACCTCTACAGACAGGGGGCGGGCCACTCCACTGTGAGGGGTGTCCGGGGATGCACCGGATGGTGGCATCCCCCTGCAGCTGGTAGCCAGCCAGGCAGTTGTAGTGCAGGGTCTCCCCAACTGGGTAAAACTGCTTCTCTGTGCTCTGGATGCTGTAGCGGGGGGTGCCGGGGTCCCGGCAGGGCTCATACTTTTCAGCTGCAGGGCACACAGATAGACAGACAGGCTGGCTGCAGGACAGTCTTTTGTAATTATAGATTAAGCTCCATTTTATTGGTTTGTGGCAAAAAGTATGAGTGTCCTGTTACTGTTTCCACCTGCTTAGGTGAACACTGCCATACTCGAGTAGACCAATAGGGGGCAGCGTTTCCCTACTGAAAAGACAAAGCGAGTTTGTTGAGGTTTTTTGGCTGGAAAAGCTGCAGCTGTCACAGGATATTCAGAGCCCCCAAACAGACTCACGGCAGTGTGCAGGCATCTAGGGAATGGAGAGACTAGGGGAAGTGTTACATTCGGAACATGAGTATAATCCACATTCTAACAGGGCGGCTGTTCATTTTGGTGTTTATTTGAATTCCCCCTGGAATATTTCAACTTTCAGAATAACTAACTGCCTTAGATTTAAAACCCCAGTCCATATATTTTTCAACCATCTTCAAAGTTTTGAAGTTCCTCTAGGATTTTACTCGAAAAAAAGCATATTTTGGCAGTAATTACGTCCAATCACCAGTCATGATTCTGTTAATATTTCCCGCCCCGAGCGGTACCACAAACACAATGTGAATTAAGCAAAATCCAAGCCTGACGTAAGTATCTTAACTGCCACTAGGTGGTGAACCAGTTGAGGAGCTGGGGAAGTAGGAAAACACTCACGGACACACTTGGGTGGCCGCCCGCTCCACTTGGGGCTGGCAGTGTCCCGAGCATGGCAGGTGAGTGTCCCGTCGCCCGTCATCACGTAGCCCTTGTCACAGACGTACTGGACAGTGGCCCCCACGGCGAAGTGAGCCCCCAACGCCACCCTGCGGCTGTGCTGCACCGCGCCGGGGTCCGAACACCACGTCACTGTGGTCACATGGCCTTAGCGTTACCTCCATGTGTCATGTGACAGACAATACAGAACACACTGTATACCCACACGTGTGTATGAACTGTGTATGTCAGGGTGTACCTGAATATTTATGTAATGAAATGAAATTGGAAAAATTAAATGTAATTTGCCATTTGCACAAGTGAGATTTTACATATCCCATCATATCTCCTTTGAGATGTACACAGGTGAGAGCAAAGTATAGGGTTCGAGTGTAGGATCAGCCATTTATCTGGTGCCCATGGAGCATTGTGGGTGGGGGAGGGGTTAAGGGTCTTGCTCAAGGGCCCAACAGAGATGTTAATATTCTTGCAAAGGCAGGATTCGAACCCGTGACCCTCTGATTACAGCCACATAGGCCTTTTCTGCTTCCAGTGTGATTTATTCTTGTCTATCTGCATCCGCCTCTCCATACCCCTGTCTGTGTTCCTGTGCCCGCATCTCACCCCGTTGGCAGCTGGGCACGTCTCCGCTCCACGTCAGGTCCCACTGGCACATGAGGACCTCAGCCCCGGCCCACAGCTGGAAGCCAGGGTAGCACTGGTAGGTCACCACTGTGCCATGCACCAGCTCCGGGTGCGAGGTGCTCTTCCAGCCGTTGGCGATCTCCGGGAGCTCTGGGCACGTGTCGTTGCGGGGGACCTCTGCGAGGGGGGGGGGGGGGGTCATTCAGACATATCGCCAAGCTCCATCCACAGACATCACAGTGACATTCAGTCAGATCTACGTCACAAACCCAGCCCGAGAGAACGCTAGCATTTGTGTAATGGCAAGGTAAACGTTCATCTAACGTTCACGTAACATTAAGATAAATACTTGTCTAAAGTTCACCTAAAACTCGTGAGACGTAAAAGGAAATGTTCATCTAATGATCATGTAAGAATAAGGTAGATTTTCATGTAACATTAAGATTAATGTCCGTCTAACGTTCAAATAATGTTAAGGTAAAAATCCATAACGCTCGTATAACATTAAGCTAAATGTGCATCAAATGCAGTGGCTCTCAATCCTGTTCCCTGCTTTAATCAGGCTTATATGGTCCTTAATAGGCTAATGGTGAATGTAGCCGGTTGACATACCGAAGAAGCGCACGACGAAGCCGTTGCCATAAGCAAAGGTGTCACCCGCAGGATCGGACTGGAACTGCAGCGTGACGTCAGCCGTGGAGGTGTAGAGCCGCACGCGGGCCCCGGGGCCGCTGTACTGACCCAGGATGTTGGCCGTCAGGTCGTCGCCGTCATAGAAGGTCAGCTGATCCCTCCTGCCCAATCGGAGGCTGTGTGGACAAGTGGAGCCTCGTCTCCATGGACACCAAGGCCGGCGCGGGGGCGAGGTGAGAGCCCTCGTCACATGACTGCTCTCACATACCTAACTCTCACGCCTAGCATGTCAGCACTCTAGGGCCATTTAATCAGTTAACAAGGTTTTCTAATACAGGTATGTGGTGATGTTTGTCTGGTGCTGGTGTTGAGTTTAAGTCTGTCTTTGGCTTTTTACGAACTCCCCGTGCACTCAGACTGGCGTGAGTCATCCCTGGTGTCTTCGTCCAGACTTTTCGAAAAAATAGCATGACCTCTTATCCTCCCGGAAGATTCCACCGCTCGTGCATGCGTACGCTTGTTGCTCGTCTCTGACACTCGGGGCGTGGATTTCTTTGATGCCACCCAAATGTACTCTTCTCCAGCAGAGAAGAACTTCCCAAAAACTGAAGGCCTCGCCTTGTTTATACTGGGTACGTATTTAAGAAAAATAAATACTGAATAATTTAACATTATTCGGGTCTTTTCCAAGGCTTTCCAAGATGAGTCATATATATGTGCTTTTTGGGGACATCCAGCACTACAGTGTTTGGTAAATTATTTTATGAGAATGATCAATTCTCTCCCCTCTGGTAAAGAGAAGGTCGCCCTTCATTGCTGTAATTAAACACTGAAGGCCGGTTCTGGAGTCAGAGGGGGAGACCGCAGTGAGGCTTGGCTGAAATCCCATACTTCCTCACTGCCTGTTCTGAGATAAGATAGTGGCGCCCCCTAGTGGTCACAAGGTTTGAGGCCCGGGCGGAACGCAGGTGCCTCAGCCACCACCTGTGCTGATGCCGGTCACCACGGCAACCTAACAACTGCCAAGCCAGCCTTCTCGTTCGCGCTTAATTAATTAATCAGCCGTCATTATGTGGTGTATTACGGCTTAATTGGGCATGTGGGTGAAATGATGAACAATTATGGTGGTGGGAAAGCTTCACCGTATGAAACACACATATGCTTGTACACAGTTACACTCTGAGACCACGTTCCCTCTTCTGGGGGGTCACCCTTTGAGAAATCTGCAGACATCCTCCCCCCCCAGTCCCACAGACCCGGCTTTGTGAGCCGTAAGGACCCCCTCACACGTCTCATTCATAGGGAAAACCGTGCACAGCCCCCACCACCCCAGGAGAGCTCCTTTCCACCGTGTCTGATTCACTGTCAGCTCGATCCTGTTTAACGGTCACACTTCTGCCGGCTTGACTTGTAGGTTTATTCATGCGGCGTTCATATGAAGGTCTACATCAATGTTCACCAGCCTGTCACTCTTAAAGTGAGACATTTGTGACCAAGTTGGTATAAGTAGTTCATGATTTCACTGGAGAAATCTGGTCATTAGCTCATGATTTCACTGGAGAATTTTTTTTATCATTAGCTTAGGAGATATATGATCAATAGCTCATGATTTCACCAGAGGTATCTGGTCATTAGCTCATGATTTCACTGGAGAAATTTGATCATTAGCTCATGAGTTCACTGAATATATATGATCAATAGCTCATGATTTCACCAGAGGTATCTGGTCATTAGCTCATGATTTCACTGGAGAAATTTGATCATTAGCTCATGAGTTCACTGAATATATATGATCAATAGCTCATGATTTCACCAGAGGTATCTGGTCATTAGCTCATGATTTCACTGGAGAAATTTGATCATTAGCTCATGAGTTCACTGAATATATATGATCAATAGCTCATGATTTCACCAGAGGTATCTGGTCATTAGCTCATGATTTCACTGGAGAAATTTGATCATTAGCTCATGAGTTC